AAATTTTTTTCGACTACTTTGTTATCCACAAAAAATCAAGTTTGTAGCTTTTTTCACACAAAATGTTACAAACAAAATTTTATGTTACTATTGATTCATCATTATTCTGTCGTGTTATTTGAAAATAAGTCAAGATTGAAGAAAGTGTAAATATAAATTTTTTTTGAATTTGATTGTTTTTTTAAGGGGTACTACTATGTCACGTAAAAGAGCAAGAACATTTTCTTCATATGCAGAATATGAAATCGATACGTCAAATGACAATTACGATGTCATAGTTGGGATTCCGAATCAAAATGATTCTGGTTCTGATGATTCAGGTTCTGATTCAGAAGACGATCAAGAACTATCGAAGATCACATATAAAACAGCATGTCAAAATTACTCTGATCATCATGATAAACTGGAAAAAGTTTACGTTTATAACTGGATCGATGGTGAAAAATGTTATTCAGATACTGTTGAAGATAAGCTATTGTTGAAAGAATCAGTGAAAAAAAGGATTCAAAATTCTGAGCCTGTGGAACTGTTTGAAAAATTTTTTTCTAACGATATGAAAATTTATATTATCGAGGCTACTGAAGAAAATGGATTATGTTTGAAACTTGAGGATTTGAATACTTTCATCGGTATAATCATTTTGAGTGCCATCAATAAAAGAAAATCTCAAAGAGACTATTGGGCAAAAGATCCATACTTATCTTGTGAAGTCATATCTTCAGCAATGTCACGTAATCAATTTGAAGAAATAAAAGCAAAATTGAAGTATTCGAAGGCTGCAGATGAGGATCCTAAAGATAAGGCTTGGCGCGTTTGTAAGTTGTTACAAATGTTTCAAAAGAACATACAACTATTTGGTTTTTGGAAAACTGCTTTATCGGTTGATGAAATGATGGCCAAGTCGTATGCAAGGACATCTCTGAAACAGTTTATCCGAGGAAAACCTATTCGATACGGACTCAAATTTTGGGGCTTGTATAACGCAGAAGGATATTTGTTGAATTTAGATTTATATTGTGGAAAAAATTCGTCGACTGAAGGTAAGCTCGCAGAATGTTCATTGGGTTCACGGATTGTAATTAAATTATTGGAACCTTTTTTAAAAACTACAAATTCGAAAAGTCTTACATAATTCCATCTGTGTTTTGACAATTATTTCACAAGTTTTGACCTAATATTGCATTTGAAAAAGTTAGGCTTACGATGCACGGGAACTATTCGAGAAAACAGGGTGAAAGAAAAAAATGTACTTGATAAAAAATCTCCACGTGGGACGTACGCAGTAAAACATGATAAAGTCAGTGGTATCAATTACATAAGTGTAGTTGATTCAAAGATAGTCTCAATAGCTTCGACTGCAGCAAGAGTAACACCTTTCTTGACGTCAAAAAGATACAGCTCTACTACCCGTACAAAATCTGAAATACCTTTTCCTTATGCGTTTCATTTATATAATAAGTTTATAGGTGAAGTAGATATCCACGACGGGCATTGTAATAATGTACTTTCATGCATTCGTGAAAAAAAAAGGACGTAGGTTGTTTTTATTAGACTAATACAAACTTCTATCACTAATTCAGTCGTTTTATTCAAGGCAACTGGAGACAAAATGAAAAAAGTTGGGACGAAAGAATTCTCACTGTCAATAGCAAAATATTACATGGAAAAAACTAAAATGAAACGAATACCACATAAAACTTCCAATTACAACAAAATGAAGCCATGTTCTAAGTGTCCAATAAGAACAAATATATTTTGTCACAGTTGCAAATTATATTTTTGTAAAAAATGCTTGAATAACAATCATTAGATTACTTGTGAGAGGCAAGGGGACTCACTAGAAACAAGCACCTCGAATAGTGAGAAGAAAGGGGACTCACTGAAAACAAGCACCCCGAACAGTGAGAGGCAAGGGGACTCACTGAAAACAAGCACCCCAAACAGTGAGAGGCAAGGGGACTCACTCAAAACAAGCACCCCAAAGGAGAAAGAATTCTACCACGTCCACGTCGTTTTCTCTGGGTCGCGCAAAGAGTAGATACTGAAATTCTCAAATTCAGTTTTCTATGTATTTACATAAATATGCATGGAAATGAGTGTGTGTGTGTGTGTGCGTGTATGTCTATGTATAATATTGGATGACTTTTACGTTGTAATCTGCAAAAAACACAGGAAATATACGAAAATTTACAGTTTTTTACCATTTGTGGTACATTTATGATCGCCACATAGAACCTGCCATGTATAAACTATGGTAAGACATTTATATTTCTCAAAGAAGCAATAATATATCATTTATTTTGATGATACACATACTTATTTATTCAATAAATTAACAATGATATGAAAAAAACGCGTATTATTCGATTTTCAAAATTTTTCGCGAAAAACGCGATGTTTTCATAAAAAAAATTTTTTTCGCCAAAACAAAAAATACTGGCTCAAAGTGAAACTATTCCCTGCACCTTTCTGCATATTTTAGGTATAGATTATTTGCGATAATATTCTGAAAAAAAATCGAGAAAAAAATTTTTTTCTGAAATTTTGGTGTTTTTTGTGTTTAAATTGGTCATATCATTTTTCCTTTGAATCTGACCAAAATTTTGACAAGAGGTTCTGAAAGAGCATTAAATTCTATGTCAAAATGTGTGGAAACAAAATTTTTTCAACGCCAATAACATAAAAAATAATCGCGTTGAAAAGTCGCTAAAAAATTGGAACGCTTGGGCGTTAATGGGTTAACTCTAAAAATGAAGATTTTTTTTTAAAAAGACATTTATGACTTGCCCAATCGTTGGCAGAAAGTCGTAGATGCCAATGGAAATTATTTCGATTAAAAATAATAAATAATGTAAAAAATAGCGCTTTTTGATTTTTATTTCTATTTAACGCCCGTTTTATAGTTTCCAACCTAATAGTTGCTGTTGATAACGCTCAGCGAGCGCAAGCGTAGTATAGTAGATTGCACAGCAGTCTGCTATGCTTAAGGTCCCGGGTTCGATTCCCAGTAGAAACAGAAATATTTTCATGCGCACGACTCTTCTTCGGTGGTCTGGCAAACCACCAAGAGTATTCATGCCATGCAAGGCTCTCTCCAAAAATTTGCCGTTCGGAATCGACACTTGAACTGTAAGTCCCGTATACATGTATGTATAATCTGCGTACGCAACTCATGCATACGTAAGAGAGAGGTAAGCCCAGGTTCTACATGGGCTGTGTAGCGTCACTGATGATGATAACGCTCAACAATGACAGTTTGACGGGGTTTGAGGAATTCAAAGTGAATAACGGTCTTCTGGTTCCACTAGGTACACTGCAAAATTATTTTTGCATGAACGTTTGGTTTTGCAGTGCTGATCAATGTCTCACCTGGATAAAGCTCAGATTTTTGCCTCTTCGGATTGTCATAAATTTTCCACTTTTCATCACAATATTGTGCAAAAAGTCCTTCTTTTTAAATCTGGATAGCAACGACATTGCAATGTCGCGACGTCTACTCTTATTTACAGAAATGAGTTTATGCGGCACCCAACGGGTCTCCTTCTGGTCCCCCCCCCCCCCCCCCNCCCCAGGTTAAGCAAGCATTTAAGAAAGGATTGTCAGGTTACTCCAAGTGAATGTGCGAGCTCTGACTGCATGCGACAAGAGATTTATTCCAAAAGTTCTTCGAGTGTTTTACCTGAAGGTAAAATTTCTTCAAATATTTTTGGTTGTCCCGAACATTCTTCATCCTGAAGATCCAAGTTACCACTCTTGAATCTTTGGAACCACTTCTTACATGTACTGTAAGAAATAGCATCTTCGCCCAAAGCCGAAAAAATAATTTTTTATCCTCTGCGATATTTTTTTAAATTTAAATACAAAAAAGAGGTAGTGCCTCAAATATTGCTTTTCCAACGACTTTCATCACTGTTTTTTGAGGTTATGTTAACAGGGCTGCCAACTATTATAATGTGCTTTAAAGCTTAGGCTTCATTCTTTCAAACCACTATATGGCAGGAAGAAATATGAATTTGAGTATGTGTTGCCACTGATTGAATTTCGGGGCCAAGAATTAAATTGCGCACCTAATAATAATTGTTTTCTTAGTTACATTACAGCATTCAACATGGAAATTTTGTAGTAAAATTCACTATCTAAAAGTACAAGTTCAATGTACTATCTAAAGGTACAAGTTCAATTTACGTACATATGATATTTTAATTTTTAGAAGATCGTAAATTCAAAATATTACTTTCGTCCTCGGTCTAGCTTATTCTATCATTTTGTATGCAGACTAGGATCACGGGTGTGATTGCGCTGTTCCTTGTTCGTTGCGAAGGTCGTTTAATAGTTTTTAGAGAAAATATGAAAATACAATTTTTTATGGAGTAAAATAATTTTTAATTTTAATATAATTTCCCTCAAATTCTATGCACTTTGTATAACGACACTCAAGTTTTTCCATGCTTCCATATAACAGGATTTATCTTTTTGCCAAAATAGCCGTTTATAGCATGAATTACTTCAGTATTTGAGCCAAATCTCTCTCCACCCAACCATATTTTTAAGTTCAGAAATAGAGAAAAGTCACAAGGAGCTAAATACGAGGTCTGTTCAAAAAGTATCGCGAATTTTATGTTTTTTCAAAAATTATTTATTTATTCATGAATATCTATTTTGTCTACTTCAAAATAATCCCCATCAGATATTATACACTTGTGCCAACGTTTTTTCCAATCCTCGAAGCACTTCAAAAAATCATTTTTTGTGATCTTGTTCAGCTCCTCTTTCGATGCCGTCTTTATCTCCTCAATCGTAGCGTAGCGTCGTCCTTTCATGTGCCTCTTCAGTTTCGGGAATAAGAAAAAGTCACAGGGGGCCAGGTCTGGGAAATATAGTGGTTGCGGCATGATTAGTGTGTTGTTTTTAGCCAAAAATTCGCGCACAAGCAACGATGTGTGAGCAGGGGCGTTATCATGGTGCAAAAGCCAATTTTTGTTCTTCCACAAATCCGGGCGTTTCTGGCGGATTGCTTCGCGCAAATTGCGCATAACTTGCAGGTAATATTCCTTATTGACCGTTCTACCCTGTGGCAAGAACTCATGATGCACTACGTCCCTGCAATCGAAGAAAATTGTAAGCAAGGGCGTCCGGCACGCTTTTCGTCGTTTACATCTTCTCGGCCCTCTGAGAACATTTTGTACCACCGATAAACGTTGCTTCGGTCCAAGGTAGCTTCACCATATGCCACAGTCAACATTCGGAATGCGTCCGCGCACTTAATTTTGTTTTTCACACAAAATTTGATACAGATTCTTTGATCTATTTTTTGGAACAGGCAAAAATCGAAGACTAGCCAAAACACGTCCAAACAAAACAGCTGTCAAAGATAAACTGAATATTTAAAATGGCCGAACTTGTCGGCATAAGTAAGGGACATGAGTACCAACATAACGCCACAAAAAAATCGAAAATCGAACATACGTAACCCGCGGAAATTTAAAATTCGCGATACTTTTTGAACAGACCTCGTATGGTGAATACAATGGATGGCCGACTAATTCAAAGCTTAATTCATGCAATTTGTCCATTGAAACTGCATATGTAAGAGCTGTTGCATTGACTCGATGAAAGAGCACCGTTTTTTGCCATATAGAAATGTTTTTCCTTAGTCGCATCGTTAAATTCAATAATAATGCGTAATATTCTCCTGTGATTGGTTTTCTTTTTTCCAGATAGTCGTTGACTATGTCAATGGGCATCCCAAAACCAGTTGCCGTGACCTATACAGCTGATAGAACTATTTTTGCTTTTTTGGCACACGTTCGTTAAGATAAGTCAATTCTTTTGACCGTTCTTTTGTTTTTAGTGTGTAATGATAGATCCATGTTTTATCAACAGTTACAAAACAAAGTAAAAAAAACTATTGGATAATGCTTTAAACGCTTTTCCAAACAACGCTTTGAAATTATTATTCGATTTCGTTTTTAACCAATTATGAGTAAATATTTTGCGAATAGCTTTTTCATACTTAAATTTCCGTGTAACATGTAAACTCGTTCGATGCACGCAAACTCTGCAATCTAACGCTTTCACTTTATGATTTTCTAATACGATATCATGGATTTTTCAAATCATTTATAAATTTGTCACCATTTTGGACGACCTGAACGTTGCTCTGTACGTATGCTTGTACAACTATATTTGAATTTAACCAGTACTTGTCTGTAACATAACCTTGAGCATGTGCCGGTGACCAGTATCACATCGTCTGGTACGTAACGTTGGGGCAATCTTATCAATTAGATATTATAACATTACTAGACCAAGAAGCAGGAACGGATTATCGATATAGGGCCAAAACTGCTCCCTTTCTAAAGCCACGCAGCGTTTGCCTTAGATAATTCAAATTAAAGTACACGCAGCGTTTGCCTTAGATGATTTAAAATTCATCTAAATGAAGATAAGATGAATATCCGAAAATTCATCTTAGATGAGATGAAGTTAACATTGCTTTTGATTTATCCAAATAAAAGATAAGATAAGTAGCGATACTTATCTGGATAATTTTTTACATATTCTTGTCATGAGAAACTTTATACAAGTTCATAATAAAAATTACGTAGACCATAAAATTGCACAACGGTTAGTTCGTTATTCGTTAATGTAGTCGCTCTAAATTTAAGGATTTAAAAAAGACCAATAATTATTGGTTTTCTTTTTTCCAGATAGTCGTTGACTATGTCAATGATTATAATCATTGACTGCTCACTCACAGTCGACAATATGATACAGGCTTAAAGTAAATAAATTAATTAAAACAAATGGTCTATTTTTTTAGTTTCACCGCTGAATTGGTGCAATAAGTTATAGTGAAAAAATCATATTTTGTCTATATCTAATCTCCAATCCCTAGTCTAATACAGGCTTAACGCATAGATCTAGATTATTTCATTTATTTTATCGAAAAGTGAGTTGAGAATATGGACCATAACATCATTCTAGATAATTTTTAGATGAGAAAATATATTTTTTATCTAAGATGAAAATGAACATATTTTATATTTATTCCATTTAGTTAAAGATAAAAATGATCTATTTATTCATCTGCAGGATTATTTAAATAACTATATCTAGATACTGGCAAACAATATGTACATGGGCACAGATAGTAATAATCTAGGTAGTTTCAAATGGTTACGCGGATGGTACATGTTCAATGTAATATCATATGCGACCAAAACGTCGCAAATAAGATAAATTGCTTGTACATATTTATCTTTTCGTAAATTTGTAATTTAACAGATATCTTATAAAATTAGTACTATTAAAATAAATATTTTAGCTTAATAGCAATCGGATAGCATAATGACAATCGTTTATCATCGATTTCATCGGTAATAAAGATGAATCTGATTACCTCGGATTGCAGCTTTTGTAGTGCAGTAAATCGTTCCATGCGGGATGAAATGTAACGCTGTCACCGATGAAATTGCCACAACGTGATTGTGATTTCTTTTGATCATATTTGGTAGGAATGTTTTCATCGTCTAAAAATAAAGTTCAATCAGATAGATATTGTTTTTGTTGCATTTTATTTGCCTTTTGTTTTTAATATACGCAATTATTTGTGATCGATACACTATAAATATTTCCGCAAATAATAAGATAACATTAATTGCTCTTTTATACAATTTACACATTTTCTCTCTTTCTCTCTTTTTCGTTCATTATCAAATACACTTGCCCAATAGTGCGCCATAAGATTAACATCCACAACCCGAGAAATTTCATTGATGTCGTAATTTAATAATGTTAGAAGAGGTGCAATACCGGCATTGTTGATTAAAATAGTAATATCTCTAACTTCCTTTTTCACTTTTGCTGCCACTTTGAAGACTTCATTTTTGTCTGATATGTCGCATCTATAAGGCCCGAACGAATACTAATTTATTTCTAGAAATGATAACTAAAACTGTATTGGTACTCACGTAAAAAAATATTTCAATTATTATGCATTATTTATCAGACTTTATCAGAAATCGTATAAAACAAATTTCGGAAACATACGTACCGATAAGCATGTACTGAACTTTTCTCCATTTCTTTAATTTTATGCATTGTCTGCACGTTGGTTTCTTCATTGACATCCCAACATACTACTGTTGCTCCCAAAGACGCATAACCAATTGCTAATTCTCTCCCAATTCCGTGACCTGCACCAGTTATCTGTTACGATATATAATAAAGAGCAAATTATATTTCTTGTATGTCAAAGGCTAAGGAGATCGTGTCACTTTTTCTTCGAGAAATTTCGCAACGCATGCCGTATTCAATAGGGATATGTATTTTCGGAGATCTATTGAAAAATAAAATTCTGCTGCTGAATATAAGATGCGTTACAAAAAATCAATAAGATATAAATGTTGGAACTTTATATTTTCCAACTGCTCAATCGAGCTTTCAAAAGAATTCCATAGTTGACAATATTACCGACAGAACATTGATATTTTTGCAAATTTTTATTTTATTGGTTGCGCAGAATTATAAATGTTTTCAAACTATAAAAATACACGTGAAAATTAATTCAAATATTAATCAGTATGTGATGAAAACGATGAAAAATTTTAAAATAATGTATCCAGCTATCAGTTGGCGTAAACATTTACCTGATATACGAGGGTGGATCAAATTTAAAAGAGCTTTTTACCAAAGAACCATATAATTTTAAAAATCCATTCTAATTTACATTTCTTTTATTTTTCTACATAGTGCACCATCTTATCTATACACTTCCTACAACGGTCTGGTCATTTTTAACCCCAGCATCATAAAAAGTTCGCGGGCATGTATCAAACCAATTGCACACAAACTGCTGCACCTTTTCGTTCGTTGTGAAGCGCTGTCCACCAAGGGCTTCCTTGAGTAGCCGAAACATATGGAAGTCGCATGGTGACAGGTCTGCACTGTAGGGTGGATGTTCTAGGACAGCCCACTGTATATCGGCCAATTTTTGTTGTGTTACTGCTGTGGTGTGGTGTCTGGCGTTGTCATGGAGAAGGAACANGCGAACTGCGAATGGTCGAATCGATTAATTAGGTTTAAAACTGTTTTCAATTAAGTTGACCAAAAAGTCTTTTTGTTTTTTAAAGAAAGTTTAAAGACGTTTATTTGCAAACTAAAAACTTTATCAATTTATTAACTGTTTAGTTTGAATATTTTCTTTTATCTTTTAGGGACCTTCATTATTCCGTCCTCGAAGAATTTTTCTATTGGATTAGAACAAAAGTTTGTGGCGTTTTGTAAATGAAATTCGAAGACGAAGTTTGTAAATATTTGTACATAGAACTATTCAACTACATATCAGGTCGTCAAGGATGAAATTGTAGAAAAAAAGGCAAAGTTGGTGGATAACTTACAAATATAAGGAATTATTTTATTTATCAAAGTATGCACACATATTGTCTATACACTTTTGCCATTTAAGCGGCAGGTTGTTCAGGCCGGTAATATAAAACAATGGCGGACGAGAGTCAATGAATTCCTGGAAGGCCAGTTTTATAGCATTGTTGGAATTGAATTGTTTTTCTATTAAAAAATTGTCCAAATTGCGGAAGAAGTGATAGTCAGTGGGGGCTGGGTCTGATGAGTATGGAGGATGATGAAGAAGTTCCAACTCCAATTCCTGTAGTTTTCCCACAGTCTTTTGTGCAATGTGTGGTCTAACGTTATCATGCAATAAGATAGGAGTCGACTTGTTGACCAATCTAGGCTGTTCTTCTTTAAGTTTTTGCGTAATTTCGTCCAGTTGGTTGCAGTATATTTCTGCTGTGATCGCTGAGTCAAGTTTCATGAAATCATAATGGATCACTTCTGCGCTAGACCACCAAATACTCACCATCAGCTTTTTTTCATGAATATTGCGCTTTGTAGTGTGTTTTGGTGATTCATCCTTGTCCAATCACTGTGCTGAACGTTTGCGATTGTCGTAATGGATCCATTTCTCATTACAAGTGACAATTCAATTCAAAAGTGGATCAGATTTGTGACGAGGAAGCAACATCAAGCAAGCTTCCAAAAGCTTTTGTTTCTGTTTTTCATTCAGTTTATGTGGAACCCACTTATCCAACTTTTTCACTTTACCAATTTGAGCGAAATATGTTAATATTGTTTGTTTGCTAACATCAAACTTCAACGATAATTCATAGGTACTCTGAGATGGGTCAGACTCAACTGTGACCTTTAGTTCGTCATTATTGACCTTTGATTCTGGGCGACCGCGTGGCTCATTTGTGAGGAAAAAGTTACCTGTTCAAAATTTGGCGAACCAATTTGATACTGTCTGCTGCGTAGTAACACTAAAGCCAAATACACTACGAGGTCTGTTTAAAAAGTATCGTGAATTTTAAATTTCCGTGGGTTACGTATATTCGATTTTCGATTTTTTTGTGGCGTTATGTTGGTACTCATGTCCCTCACTTATGCCGACAAGTTCGGCCATTTTGAATATTCAGTTTATTTTTGACAGCTGTTTTGCTTGGACGTGTTTTGGCTCGTCTTCGATTTTTGCCTATTCCAAAAAATGGATCAAAGAATCTGTATCAAATTTTGTGTGAAAAACAAAATTAAGTGCGCGGACGCATTCCGAATGTTGACTGTGGCATATGGTGAAGCTACCTTGGACCGAAGCAAAAATTTATCGGTGGTACAAAATGTTCTCAGAGGGCCAAGAAGATGTAAACGACGAAGAGCGTGCCGGACGCCCGAGCACGTCAACAACAGACGAAAACATTGATGAAGTGAAGAAAATAGTATTGGCCAATCGTCGAATCACCGTTAGAGAAGTTGCTGAGGACCTAAACATATCGATTGGCTAGTGCCATTCGATTTTTACTAATGATTTGGGCATGAGACGGGTCGCCGCGAAATTCGTACCAACGCCCCTGCTCACACATCATTGCTTGTGCGCGAATTTTTGGCCAAAAACAACACACTAATGATGCCGCAGCAACCGTATTCCCCTGGCCCCCTGTGACTTTTTCTTGTTCCCGAAACTGAAGAGGCACATGAAAGGACGACGCTACGCTACGATTGAGGAGCTACGAAAGACGGCATCGAAGGAGGAGCTGAACAAAATCACAAAAAATGATTTTTTGAAATGCTTCGAGGATTGAAAAAAACGTTGGCACAAGTGTATAATATCTGATTGGGATTACTTTGAAGTAGACAAAATAGATATTCATTAATATATAAATAATTTTTGAAAAAACAAAATTCGCGATACTTTTTGAACAGACCTCGTATTAATGTTTCGCGCGGTCTGCGATGCTGTAGTTTTACGTAAGTACTCATACTTCATAATAGTGCGTATTTCCGACCGTTCCATTTTTAACGAAATTAACTTTTAATAAAACGTTTTAATACTTCTTATAGCTTACAATGATTTTTTTAACAGGCGAGATATGTAACACTCCAACTGAAAAACAGAACGGTAATATATTGGTAATTCAAATAAGTTTCCGCCGTTTTTTTTATAAAAATTATCAATTTATTGTAAAAAAATATACTTTACATTTTATTCAAAATATTATTCGTCACTAGCTACTACTTGTGGCCACCTTTCTGTCAGCATTCGGATGCCACGTCGAAAAAACTCTTCATCTTTTGAGGTTACCCATGAATCGACCCAATGTTTGGCTTTTTTGTAAGAAGTGAAGTACTGCTCGACCAGGGCGTGAGCCATCGACCGAAACAAGTGGTAGTCCGAAGGAGCAATGTCTGGTGAATACGGCGGGTGAGGTAAGACATCCCATTGTAAAGCTTCCAAAGTATCCTTGACGACTTTTGCAACATGTGGCCGAGCGTTGTTATGCTGAAAAATCAGTTTGTCATGTCTTTTGGCATATTGGAGGCGTTTTAGCTTCAATTCTTGGTTTAATTGCATCAGTTACTGTTGATAACATTCTCCAGTGATAGATAGTCCACCAGATGCACACCATTAGCTTCTTGCCATGAATATTCGGTTTGGCCGTTGAAGTTGGTGCATGGCCGGGCTTACTCCACGATTTCCTACGCTTTGGGTTGTCGTAGTGGATCCACTTTTCATCTCCCGTCACTATTCGATGCAAAAAACCCTTCCGATTTTATCATTGGAGAAGTTGTTCGCACGTAAAAAGACGGCGTTCGATGTCTCTGGGTTTGAGTTCATGCGGAACCCAATTTCCTTGCTTTTGTACCATACCAATGGTCTTGAGACGGTTTGAAATCGCTTGTTGAGTCACTCCCAAGTTTTCTGCGAGCTGCTCTTGAGTTTGGCATGAGTCTTGGTCCAATAATNTGAGTCACTCCCAAGTTTTTTGCAAGCTGCTCTTGAGTTTGGCACGAGTCTTGGTCCAATAATGCCTCTAACTCAGCGTCTTCAAACTTTACTGGCCTTCCTTCGCGTTCTTTATTTTCCACATCTAACTCGCCGTTTTTAAACTTTTGAAACCACTCACGACAACTTCTCTCACTTAAAGCAACATCACCGTAAACTTCTACAAGCGACCGATGCGCCTCAGCAACAGATTTCTTTAAATGAAAGAAATAAATCAAAACTTCCCGCAAATGACGCTTATTCGGTACAAAACTCGACATTTTCGAACGAAAAAAATGTCTACTGCCAATACAAAGTCAATAGTATTTTAAGGTTATGTTGTTGCCAGGTGTCCAAATATTTCTATATGATGTTTTACATCTGACGATTTCAAAGTAATCTTGTCGGTGGAGCCATCTTTTGAAAACGGCGGAAACTTATTTGTATTACTAATATTAAGCCAATGTCAAATAATAACCCCTTACAGTTGGCAATATTATTAACTACAAATTTCATCCTTGCCAACCTAATATATGTCATTCTATTCCACTATCCCACTTTCTGTCATACCCGGTGAGTTTAGCCTTAGACATATTTATTGTTCTACTCTAGCGAATTGTTTTCTGCCTCTATTCGCCCTTTGCGTGTCGATCTTTTTGCAGATCTTGGCCTAGCTATTTGTTGACCTTATTTGCAATAAAGAGGGAGCCCTTTTTGCTGTCTACTGTTATGAAATCAAAGTTTGGTTTTGGCATAATTTTTTTAGAATATCATTGTAGTCAGCTGACCCGCGTGGGCTGCAAGGTCTGCATATGAGATGCTGGTGGTGCTGGCGTAGCGGCTGTGTACACGCTTATCAACATTATGTTCGACGCGCCAAATATAAATCAATTTGGTCACGTGAAACTCACACACACAACCTATATAACGGTGTTGAACTACGTTTCGAACATGCGGACGAAAATATAAACGCAAACACTGCAACAATATAATCAAAATAACCAACAGTGCAAAAATCATGAGCGAGGACAAAACTGACAAAAGATGGAATATAAAAAAGTATGAGAAGTAATCCCGAAAATATTGTTACCAAGAAACGTCAAACTTTTATTAATGATTATTTGTTAAAAAATCCAGTTGAAACCAGCAACAGTTATGAAAAATTAAATGATGAAACAGCTACAGATATAGAAAAATTAATATACATTAACCTAAATAAAACTGTAACAAAAACTCCTCCAATTTTCTTAGAAGGATTTGAAACATAATTCCATTAAAACAATTATTCAATGAGATCGCAAGAAACATGCACAATAAAAATACTAAGGAACAACCAAGTTAAAATGCAACCGTTCATCACAGAAAAATATCTGCCAATAATGGACTCACTACAAAATAAATGGTACACAAGGTTTCACGTATCAAAATAAAAATGAAAAAGAAATCAAAATTTTTTTGTATTCCTAGATGGTATCTGCAATCAGCATCAACTAAGCAAACTAAGAATTTTTGTTGTTTGCAAATTGACTTGTTAGATGGAACAATCTCACGATCGTTATTCCATTATGTACCCAACTATATCTCAAACTATCAGTTTGAGAGTTCCAGTATTTTTTCAACTTTTAATATGTCTATTGCCATCATATAGGGTTTTTGTTAATTGATTTGGATAGTTAGTCAGTTTTTGATAGTATTTTGAGTTTTTTGTTTTGATTTTTTCTCTGATTGTGGGCATCTGCAAGTACACGTGCACCTCAGTATTTTTTATGACACAAGGAGCTTGTGTGATTAATTTTAGTATACTATTCAGTATTTTTTATGACCCAAGGAGCTTGTGTGATTAGTTTTAGTATACTATTCTGGTATCATTGCATAATCTCTATGTTCGAAT